TTTTGCAAACAGAACTTTCAAAAATGGCATGTTTTAAAGTTGAAAAATGTGGGTTTTGAAAATATTCAGTTTTGAAAAAATCTCACCATGTGATTAAGATGACAATCAAAATTAACAAGGGGCAGGGGAAGAACTCTCTAAAACCACAAACAGCAAGAAAATGAAGATTGGAATCAGTAAACAGCAAATGAAGAATTGTAAGAAAATCAAAATATTTTCACAAGGTTTTTTTGTTTTTTTTTTAAAGGCCATTTTTCATCAAAAAACTGATTTCCTCAGAAACAGCCCCAGTCCTACACCAGTGGGATGTATCTAGCTCAGGGATAGGCAACCTATGGCACATGTGCCGAAGGCAGCACGCGAGCTGATTTTCAGTCGCACTCACACCGCCTGGGTCCTGGCCACCGGTCCGGGGGGCTCTGCATTTTAATTTAATTTTAAATGAAGCTTCTTAAATATTTTAAAAACCTTATTTACTTTACATACAATAGTTTAGTTATATATTATAGCCTTATAGAGAGAGCCCTTCTAAAAACGTTAAAATGTATTACTGGCACGCGAAACCTTAAATTAGGGTGAATAAATGAAGACTCGGCACACCACTTCTGAAAGGTTGCCGACCCCTGATCTAGCTGGACACCGCAGGTGCTAGAGTCACTTACATGAGCTCTCCATCTCCTCAATGTTTCTAAAAAGCCTAAATTAGAACTTTTGTTTGTTTGCTTTTCACAGCAAGCCAACTTTATGCTTGGATAGTTAAATATACTGCACAACCAGTATCTGTCTGCAGCTATCTGGTGACTCTGTGGATTGGGAGGACATATATAGTTCTGGATGGATAAAGCTCTAAGCACACAGGATGAAGTTGACAGAATGGAGTAGAAGAGCTCCATATCTTGTAAATACACAATTATGTACTTTTTTCAAATGAGTATTATTTACTTGATAGTCTCTAATAGCTCCTTTGAGAACATTCCCCTCTGTTATGTCAAGACCTGAACTTAGAGTATTTTTTAGTTTGCAGATCATTGACCCACTGTAATGCAGTGGCATTTTCAAAATATTACCGCATATTAGGTCACTGAGTGATGAGGAGCTTCATGTGCATTAATCCCACCTGGTAAAAACTCTACTGAAATTTTGGATGGGGAACACGTACTGCTCACACTCATCTGTGCCACTTGTTTATAATAATCAGAAGAAAGCTTGTTTATGTACTAAATGTAATTATTGCGCGTTATGGGTAATGTATTTTAATTTGTACGTATTGAAGCTTGTTTTAAAAACAAAGCATTTTATGAGATGATGAATATTGTGTGTGTGTGTATGTATATGTGTATATATACATATGTGTATACACATATACATACACACACACACAATATTCATCATCTCATAAAATGCTTTATGTATAGTGTTTGTGTGTGTAGATGTATCTAATATATATAATCTCTCTCTCTCCCTCTATATATTTTGTGTGTGTGTATAAAAGGTTATTGAGTGAGCTTCAGATCTACATTTAATGCTTTGAAAGGGAAATGGGAAGACATAAAACAATATGCCGGGGAAGACCTAGGATTATCTATCTATCTAATCTAGTTATACTGCACTCATTGTGGTATCTGACAACCTGAGATTTATTATTACTATAGTATTTGATATTTATGACAGTATACTACTATTATTAACACTATATTCTCCTATTATCTCCTAGTTTTAATATTAGGGCACAATAAAACCTGTTGTAATAGTTCCTAAAATGTATTTATATACACATGTTGGATGTAGAATCATAGTTTCATAGAAATGTAAGACTGGAAGTGACCTTGATAGGTTATCTTGTCCAGTCCCCTGCACTGAGACAGGACTAAGTATTATCTAGACTATCCTTGACAGGTGTTAGTCTAACCTGTTCCTAAAAATGTTTAATAATGGAGATTCCATAAACTCCCTATGTAATTTGTTCAAGTGCTTAATTATCCTTACAGTTAGGAAGTTTTTCCTAATGTGTAACCTAAATCTCCTTTCCTGAAATTTAAACCCCTTACTTCTTCTCCTGTCCTCAGTGGATAAGGAGAACAATTTATCACCCTCCTCTTTATAACAACCTTTTACATACTGGAAGACAGTTATCATGTCCCCCCTCTGTCTTCTAGTCTCCAGACTAAACAAACCACGTTTTTTCAATCTTTCCTTGTGGGTCATGTTTTCTGGACCTTTAATTATTTTTGTTGCTCTCCTCTGGGCTTTCTCCAATTTGTCCACATCTTTCCTGAGATGTGGTGCCCGGTATTGGACACAATAGTCCAGCTGTGGCCTTATCGGTGCTGAGCAGAGTGGAAGAATTACTTCTCGTGTCTTGTTTGCTTCTTTTGCAACGGTATTACATTGTTGACTCATATTTAGTCTGTGATCCATGATAGCCCCCAGATCCTTTTCTGCAGTACTCCTTCCGAGGCAGTCATTTCCTATTTTGTATTTGTGCAATTAATTATTCCTTCCTAAGTGCGGTACCCTGCAGTGTCCTCACTGAATTTCATCCAATCTATTTCAGACTATTTCTCAAGTTTATCAAGATCAATTTGAATTCTAATCCTGTCCTCCAAAGCATTTGCAACCCCTCCAAGACTGGTATCATCAGCAAACTTTATAAGTGTGCTCTCTATGCCATTATCCAAATCATTTATGAACATATTGAATAAAATATATTCAATACATTTGCTGGATGGAGGCAATGCATCTCCTTTGGGAGTGTCTTTATAGATGCATTAAACATTCAACTCTATTTTTGTATTTTACTCAACTAAATACAGTTATTAATTTTTGCTTGTTTAAAATCTAAAAGAAAAACTGAGAATGCATTGCACTTCTGAAGTACCGTTACTCTGAAGGACTCAACATTCTTTACCAGCATGAATGGATTAAACCTCACAAACACCCCTGTGAGGTAGGTGGTGTTATGTCCTTCTTTATGCTGAGCAAACTAAGAGCTTGTCTTCACTTTCAGTGCTACAGTGGCTCCTATATCTGACGGGAGAGCATCTCCCGTCAGCATAGTTAATCCACCTTTCCATGAGGTGGTAACTATCGCTATGGGAGAAGTTCTCCTGTGGACATAGTGCTGTCTACACAGGGGGTTAGGTTGGTATAACTATGTCACTCAGGAGTGTGGATTTTTCAAACCCATGAGCAACATACTTATACTGATATAGGTCTGTAGTGTAGACCTGGCCTAAGCAGGTGAAGCAAACAGAGAGATGAGTCAACATTCCCAAGGTCATGTAGCTAGTCCTCAGCACAGCCAGAAATAAAATTAGTAAGTCCTTACTACCAGCCTTCTTGCACCAACCACTAGACCGCACCAACTTCTAGATCAGGGTATGTTTTTTCTGCTATAGTTTTAAGACCCCTGGAAAGCAAGGTTTTATTGAGAACCCTAAAAACAACACACTTATAGTAGTGCTGTGCAATGTCTTTTCTAATTTTCCAAAACTATGGTTTGTAGCCACAGCCCTGCACTGGGTGTGGCATGGATGCACACCAAGTCAGCAGCAGCTCTGGCAAGAATATGCCACAGGAAGCTCTGAGCATATTGTGCCTCAGGGAGCACAATGCTTTCTGGTGCTTACTGCCCCACCTGTCAAAGGGGTTCATTGTCCATTCCCCTCTCTGCACTGGATAGAGAGGGAACAGAGCCGTAGCTCAGTTTTCTTTCCTCTCAGCTCCCTGTGCAGGACAGCGATGTTAAGCCTTGCCTATTCTAGGAAAATATATCAGTTTAACTAAATGAGTTTGTTTAAAATGTTACCAAGTAAATTACCAACTTAAGCTAAATCAATATAACCAAGGGCTAAACTGGTTTAAGTACATCTACATTACAGCTTTGCACTGGTTTAACGAGACTGATTTTTAAATCCAGTTAGTTAAACAAGCACACTTTCCTAGGCCACCTTTACACTACAGGGACTATAGGAGCATTGTTATGGCGCCATAGCAATTCCAGCATAACTCTGTAGTGTAGACGCAGCCTATGAGGGAAAGGGTTTTTCCCTAGCTGTAGGAATGGCACCTCCCTGAGTGATGGTAGCTAGTTCAATGGAAGCATTCTTCCACTAGCTCGCTGTGTCAGCGCTGGGGGTTAGGTCGGCATAGCTACAGCACTACGGAGTGTGGATTTTCCACACCCCTGAGCACCATAGCTATGTTGATCTAAATTTTTAGTGTATACCAGTCCTTAGTATAGATAAGGCCTTAGTCCAGTGATTCTCAAACTTTTGTACTGGTGACCCCTTTCACACAGCAAGCCTCTGAGTGTGACCCCCCGCCCCTATAAATTAAAAACACTTTTAAATATATTTAACACCATTATAAATGCTGGAGGTGAAGCGGGGGTTGGGGTGGAGGCTGGCAGCTTGCGACCCCCTATGTAAGAACCTCACGACCCCCTGAGGAGTCCCAACCCCCAGTTTGAGAACCCCAGTGTTCTGATGCTCCCTGAGTGCAGGGACTCCCATTGTGATTGATTGATTGGGTGAGGAGAATGGGGAAGAGGCCCCTTGTCTTTTCTCTCTCTCTCTCTCTCTCTCTCTCTTATATGAAGTTGCACAGGAGCCAAAAGCAATCCAGCTCCAAATCATGATGGTTATAATCTACTTAGATTGTAAACTCCTTGAGGCAGGGACCATCTTTTTGTTCTGTTTGTACAGCACCTAGCACAATAGGGTCATGGTCTGTGAGTGGGGCTTCTAGGCATACAGCAATACAAATAATACATAATAATAAAATTGCTAAGAAATCTTTTCCCACATAAGTTCTCCAACATGATAAAATGAAGTGAAAATATTTTTCAGTCTTTTTAGACGAGGGTCTCTTCAGGACAGAGATTGTGTCTTCCTGTCTGCTTGGAAATACCCTAACACGCATTCTGCACTACTACAATCATCTGTAAATCATTGCAAGAAGAATTAATGACCTCACAACCTGCTTTTGGTTTTTACTAGATCTCCGGAAGACTTTTGAACAGGAGCCCCTGGGGAAAGAAGTGTCTTTGGAACAGGAAGTCCTGCTCCAGTGCCGTCCACCTGAAGGCATCCCAGTAGCTGAGGTGAGTGACAACAGCTTCCTGCGCTAGCAATTGCCACTTAGTTGTCCTAACTGAGGCCTAATATGTGGCTAATGGTGCAGTGAATTAGGGTATGGCATGATGAATGGATGGTAATGGAGACCTAACTGCCTGCTGCTGGTAGAATAGATTGATTGGGAACTGATTAATGACTTTGGAGTCAATTAGAATGCCCCACTGGGCAGAGCCACAGGCAGTTCAGTTTTATTTTTTGTTCTCTTTCATGAAATCAGAACATAGCAGTATTATATCTGGCATCAGTAGGACAAATACCTGGTGGGATTTATGAATGCAACCCTTTTTTTTTTTCTTGCCTTTTTTTAAAGTGAAAGTAATTGCTGTCCTTGAGGCAACTGGCTTTCATGTCTTAGTAAAACATTTATTTTTAATTTGCAGTATTTCATTTTCCTCACATGTTGGTGCACACACACTCACACACAGACTGCATAGCACAGTACAAGGGCCCCTACCATGATCTGATAAGGGACCTCTCAAAGCTGAAACAGGGTGGTGTGAAGGAAAATAATCCATCTTCTAGCATGGCTTATCTGTTCCATCTAACAGCAATTAAAAACACAGGTGAGGGTACTCTGTTTTCTTACTGGCAGGAGTAACCCTGCACTATTTAGCAAAAACTGTGCACACAAGCGGTGATGGGCTCCTCCGTGAAAAGGAGCTCACCTCAGTATGGTGGTGGTGCTAGTGGAACAGGGCTTTGAACTCATTCCTCACAGGAGGGGGGTTTCAGAATCACAGGGGGACCGCTGAAATTCTAAATTCAACTCTGCTGATTAGTAGAAAAAATTATTGTTAATGATGGTAATTCCCTAATCAGAATTCTCCTCATTCTTTCTCTACCATGCTCAGAAGAAACTGATGCCAATTTGCATTAGGATAAGTTAGTCTGTCATGGTTAAGTAGCAAAGTGGTTGTCATTCACTGTTGATGACTGATTTCTCTGGAGATCATGCTTAACGTATTACATCCCTATCAAACTAGATCTTGGGTCTAATCAGAATTGCAAAAAAATGTCGACAAACAACAGAAGGAATAATTAACATAGTGGATTACACACACACACACACACACACACATATATTTTTCAGTAAGTTTTTTTTCTTTCCTCTTTAAGATCCCGAAAGCTCAAAGAAGTGATTGAGTCTGGCGAGCCAGCTCTCTGACAGCCATGATATTAATCAGTTGACTTTCCTCAAGAACTTATCAACTTTTGTTGCTTCTTAGCATCCTGCCAACCTACTGTTGTGCCTTGACAAGTGTATTTATAACAGGGCATGTCATATCGCAGATGCTCTCGGATAGTGGGGGACTTCATTACCTTCGCTGGGAGCTGAGCTTGCTCATGAGTGGCAGTTAGTATGTGTGCAGTGTTACACACAGCTCTGCACCTCTCAGCGACTTAACAGCTAGTTCATCTCTTCTGTCAAAAAAACCCCCAGAAAGCCTGATTACGTGGAGGAGAGACAAACAGCATGAGTTAGCATGATGAGTAGAAAGGGGGCGCTCGTCTCTGTCACAAACATTATGGAAAAAGCATTAGCCTTTTTAATTGTTTTTTTCTTAAATCAGATTAAATGTATCCCCCTTCCACTGAACTGCTTTAAAGGCTAATATGCCCTGGTTCCTGTGAAGAAACTGATCTCTGAAAAGATTCTCTGTGAGCTGACCATATAATAATTGCTCTTTTTCATACTCTCTAACAGACAGTTCACTTTGTTAAGTAGTCAAGATTCATGGCTGCAAGCTAATTGGCTGTGAATCTTATTTGCACCATGGTCGGGGCAGACACCAATTAACATTTGGCAGGCTCAGGAGCCATACCCTGTCTGACATTCAAAAGAACTATTCTTAATGTTTCTCCCCCCCCCCCCCGCTCCCCTTCTCACTTTTGAAGTCAGGAGGGAGATCAAACACCCAGATTGGAGAGCAACCTAATGCAGCTTCTTTGTAGACTCTTTCCAACGCTATTAAAAGAACAAAGACCTGAACACTAATGAATAGGAATACCCTAATGTGACACTTTATTACTGGCACTTGCTGAAGCTGGTATGATAAATTTAAAAAATGGAAAGATGAAAGGTAACTTGGTGGGTTGAAGGATTACATGATTATTTTAATTTAGAGACGAATGCTTTCTTTGTTTAAGACTTCATTTATTTGTTCGGAGAACTTTCTGATATGATGATATAGTTAACCGAGAAAGAAGGGACTCCAGGAAAGCAGGCAATCAGCTGTTAGGCTCTCTCACATTATAGAAAGAATGTTTTGATTCCTGACATCCCAAGTCTGTCTGGGTAATGTAAACACAACAGCTATTAGCAGTGTTTCCAGATTCGATGAGGCAGACAAGAGTACTTCAAATTATTCCTCATTACAGGGACTGCTTCTATGCCCTAGAGACAGATTACCATGCTGTCCAATGCAGACCAATTGGTGACCCACATTTTCTTGCATTTTTCCAGCTTTCGAAATGGTGAATAGTTTAAAAAAATCCTATGTTGCAGGTAACATAATTCACATTGATATTACTATATAACCCGGTCATTGAAATTGTTGCTTTCGTTTTTTTCTCTTTGTTTTAATTTGTATTAGGAAGTGCTGGAAATAACCCACTGTTAGGAGGATAGCGAATATATCCCTGTCAATGCAAAGAGGATTTAGACATGTAATTCCTAGCATGGTAAATGGCAGTTAACCACATCAAGCCCCTATGGAGCAATGGCAGGACAGATCCTTTTGTTTTTAGTAGGTTGAGCCATGTCACAGTTTTTATCCCAGCCCCTCGCCCCCTCCCCCAGGGAGGAAGAAAGACTAAGACAGAGATGAGGCAGCAAAGCTTTTAAAGAGCACTTACCAGTGCTTCAGCTCCACTAAGGCATCATGCGCATTAGAGTAGATTGAAACTATAGACACTTAAAAAGCCCAAGGTCCAAATACAAGGGTGTGTGTTACAACACAATGCTCTGAAGGTCTGAGGTCAAACCAAAATTCATCCTGCTTGCTCACTGGGGACTGGGAAAGGCAACTGATGATTTGTTCAGTCACTATGGAAATCAAATCAACTTCTCTATGGCTGTATACCCTGACCACCAGCTAAGAACAGCAGCAGTGCCGGCTGCACTCTGGCAGATTGCCGAAGGAGAACTGACGCCGTAGGGAAAATGAGCAGTGACATGGCAAAAATAACACCAAAAAACAACAGTTCTGGCTCTTTCTAGGTTTCCAAAGCAATGCAGCACCTCCAAAGCAATGCTTAATTGTGTGCATTAGGGCTTCGGTAAGGATGGGAAACCAGTCCACATGGGGAACGTTACATTTTAGAATCAAACTCACACCAAACCTTTCAAGCGTTCTGCAATGTCTGGGAAAGAGTTGGTTATTTCCATACAAGCAGTGGAAATGCTAAAATACCATAAGCGAGATTCTTATGAGATTTCTGCACATAACTAAAGCAGGCAAATTCATTCCTGCTGTAACTCCATTGAAATCACCTGGGAGAGGAATCAGAAAAGAAGCAGCAAAATCCATTGCTCTGTATTTGTGCCACATTATATCGTACCTTTCCTCAATTGAGACACTGGGTTATACCGAGATAAAAGATGATCAGATAAAGAGCATCTGAACTGTTGGATACTTATTTAAACAAATAAGGCTTTTTGAGATTTGCATTTGGCCATCACTAGGCATTAGGGGCCTGATTTTCAGAGATGCTGAGAACCCTGAACTCCAGTCAAATCAATGAGATCTGCAGGCGTGTAGCACTTCTGAAGATCAGACAGTTCCAGTCCTCTGGATTCCATCTGAAGCCTCAGCATTAATTCCGCCTCCTCTTGGCATGTGGACTCTTTCAGGCATCTCTGAAAAGCCAAGAAAGGAGCACATTCTTGATAGGGGCACATACTGGGATTCTCTCAAGGTAACGCAGCAGAATTATTAGCAATTAATCCCTTTGCTCATTTAATTTGTTCTTTGAAAGATGCCAGTATCATATTGTGAGTGAGAAATATACTCAGAGACATGCAGCCCCATCAAATTAGCTCCTTGCAATAGGTTATAGATCAAAACATCAATGAGATGTAAGATTAGTTAATATGCCATAAGCAGCTAAATGAAGTTTTGCATTGAAACGTGTGATTTGCTGCACCTTCAACAAGGAGATAATTGCTTTTCTAATTATAATTGGGCATAGCATACAAACTTGGTGACCCAGCAGAGCTTAAAAACTGGCACTATATTTATCTATCTTTGCATGTTTAATTAGGAAGGAGAAGAAAAAACCCATCAAGGAGTCAAGTGGCAAATGGAGGAGTTGTTTTGCTGAGTCAAAATGAATGTGGTGTAGACTTTATTCGGCTGGTGGCAACTAGGGACTTTTCCAAATAGGCAGCATCAGGTGGCTGCTCCATCTAATTGATTATTAATATGACTGCTGTTTGCTTTGTTTCATGAGAGAGCTTATGTTTTGCTGCAGTTATTCCTTAATTGGAACTTCATGTGTATGCATTTCCATGCAAGTTCATTGTCATCCAAGCAGTGTTTTATATTCCCTGCAGGAAAGTGAGCTTGTAGAGAGGAGAACAGCGGGGTTGATGGCCATGAATGCGGATCAGCTGGGAAATGGCATTGTCATTTGTGGCCCCTTGTGATGCATGATGGAATTACCTGTGGGTCAGGTATCAATAGGGAAGAGGCTGGAAGGGGCCAAGTTGATTTGTGACATGTAAGGAGGCACATCTCTCCATCTTACCAAATGCTAACACAGACTATTTGCAAATTCCCTAGCTCCTACTTTCAGTTGTACTAATAGGTGATAAGGGCATAGACAACCTTTTTCCTTGCCCGCAGTGCAGATGCAGAATTCACTCCCGAGGCTAAAGTCCTCCCTCGTTTACATCAGTGCAAATCCACTGGTAGCCCCAGGTGGCGCTGACCTCAGGCAGCCCCGGCATTTCATGGGGACAGAG